AGGTACTAGAGACTTTAGACTGTGGACTTTAGGATTAGTGGTGTGCATAAAGCAGTGCACATATTCACAACTAAAGGCACTGCTTGTTCCAAGTAAATGGAAGTGAGGGAAATAGGTATTTCAGGAGTGCATGGAGGATGGTACAAGAGGCGGCAGTAAAACACGTTAAGAAATTATTTAATGGGGGCGGCATGGCTTGTTCACGGTTTGAGTGCGGACATGAGTGAAGGAGCTCCCGCTGCCACCTGGGACAAACCAGCTATATCTGTGCACTCATTGCTCTCTGTCCTATACTATGAGACACAGCAACAACTGCAACACTTGGAGCACTGGATGAAAGCTCATACCAGCAACTAAGCCCCCCCCATCTGATCCCTTTTTGGCTGCACCAGAGGTCAGTCAGCCCCACGCTGCACAGCCAATATGACGCCTATGAAGGCACACTCGGAGTCCTCTTCTGCTCCATCCTGACTGCTCAGGGCTGATTCGGATTAGTCTCAGCCTGACCAGAGATCCCCAAAAGGCAGCCACATTCTAGAGGAAAACCTTATGCAAAGGCTTATGGAGCCGCTCCAAGCCAGGAAGCCAAAAGAAAATAACCCAGTCGATGAAGGAAGTGGGAGTGGCGTCCGCAAGTTACTCTAGACACTGTGTAAGATGAGAAGATGGACGCCAGTCTACCCTGTCCCTGGAGTCCAATGTGGATGTAATGGGATAGCCTCAGCTGCTGTTCTGGTCACGCCCTCTGACATGTTTCACCCCACCCACTGGAACTTGATCACAGAGGTGCCCCAGTGGATGGGATGAAATGCGTCTGAGAGTGTGGCTAGAGCAGCGGCTGAGGCTATCCCATTCCATCCACACTGGACTCCAGGGACAGGTTAGAGTGGTGTCCATCTTCTCATCCTACACATTCTAGAGGACCCTCATGTGGATGAACTGTTTCACAAATACTTCTTTCTACTGCTGATTAAGAGAACTGGAGCACATGCTTTTTTCACCTGGACAGCTCTCATAAACAAGACATGATGGAGGTCTTTGATCGCCTAAAAGGACTGCACCAGCATATAGAGGAGCTGGAATCCACATCCACCACAGTGGTTGCAGCATTCAGTGGCCTCGAGAATAATGTAGTTACTCAACAGGCCTACATCCAGGGCCCCTGGCTCCAACTCGATAACCTGGAGGACCGCCATAGATGTAATAACATTCATATCCGGGGACTCCCTGAGGCCAGGAGCTCCAAGGATGAAACCATTTGTGGTCAGAATGTTAAATACCTTGCTTGTGTCCATAAGACACCTGGTTTTCGCAATTCAAACAACTCCCAACCCAGAGACGTTCTCCTGATCTACTTTTTTCAACAAAAAGAGTACATTCTATCAAAAGCCACGAAAAGGAACTTCTGGACTTTGACAAAGCCCAGTTGACCCTCAATCCAGATCTCTCTCGAAGGTGATCCCTTTGCCCACTAACAAGGTCCCTCCAGGCTACTGACATCCTCTTTTACTATGGATTCCTGTTCCATCTCCTAGCCTGCAAGAATGGTAAAACACATATTTTCCATGCCTGTGAAGATGTTAAGGGCTTTAGATCTTCTGGAAGTGGAACTGAAGCCCTGGCCCAATCCAATCCTTCCGCCAATAACACCGCTGAGCACTCCTGACATCGTAGGAGCTCAAATGCATCTGTATCCTTTCATCAATAAGGCCCCTCCAAGTATACTACCCCAGCTGTGATGACAGGACACTGGTTTTGTGACATTGGATTAAAAAAAGATTTGCTGCACACCACTGTAGAGCTGCTTAAACCATTTAATCGCTTCAGATGAAGATATGTTGGCAGCTTTGGTCCAGGTAGTAGAGAAGGTATGGACACCTAAGGAAGGGGGGGAGGGAGTGATGTTCTTCCATTACTGTGCTGGAGCAACGTATTTTGGATATGCCAACTTTAAACCCACATACCCAATGGGCTCAATTTTGAGTGGGATATTAGCCACTTTTATGAATGAGCTGTAGGATACCTCCCTCCTGCACAGATTGGTGATAGATCCTATCCCGGTACAGACAGTATATGCAAGCCACTTAAAGCTGTTTTACTGATGTGCACAGTTTAATGGTTTTCATAAAATGATAGTTTTTTTCTATTTTTGATACATTGTTTAGTATTTTGATATCTTGTTCAATGTTTACAGTTAGATTGTCTGTCTGTTTTTGCAAACAATCCATGGATCTTAATTGATGTGTACTATAGCTGTCAAGAGGGAGCCAGCTACAGTATGTTGTTTCAGCACTAATTATTTGACAAGTGTGGAATCAGCTATTTAAGAAATGATACTTCCTACTTCCCCTTTGTTATGAATAAGCACAATTATGTGTGAAATGTGTTAACCAGCAGCTACTTTGTGGCTCATAATGGTATACTGTCTTCATCTGGAGCGGTGATGGCATAAATGGTTTAAGCAGCTCTACAGTGGTGTGTAGCATATTTTTTTAATTCTGTTATGTGATGGTGGCAAGCCAAGGCGTGCACCCATAACGGAGGCTAAATGAGGCATGCGGCTTCTTCACCTGGAGTATTGTAATTTTTTTCTTTGGGTTGTGTGACATTTTCTACATTATCACAAGGTCATTCTCTTGTTTGCACGAACTTACTTTTGGTGCCCACCCTTTTCTGAGGATGCACATATTTCCACCCAGTGGCCCCAGCTATTTTGCAGTCCCCTGATAGGATGGCTTATGCTTCTCCCACCTTGGGTATTTATCTTTCTAACTTGTCTACTTAATATGTTCAGATGTTTTGTGGTTGCTATGTTTTATGCCTACTACCTATTGCTCAGTGGTGGACCAGAGAAAATATACTATGTCTCCACTAACCTTACCTGGGTAGTCCAGCCTGTTTCCCTTTGCCCCTCTTTCACTATTGCTTCGCTTCCCTCAGAAAAGAGTCTAGGACCTGATGGGTTTCCGGATTTTTTTTTATAAACAATTTAAAGAAATCCTGGCTCCCATCCTAACCCCAGTATTTAATTAGGTTTCTCCTAGCAGCCCCTTTCTCAAACAATCACAGGAAGCACACATCACCTTAACACCTAAATGCAGAAAATATCCCACTCAATGTGTGAGGTATTACCCCATCTTGTGGATTAATGTGGACCTTAAGCTTTTCACTAAACTGATTGCCAATAAACTACAGATGTCAGGAATGGACTGGCCAGCAATGGTGGGACTCACCTGCCTTTTGATCGGCAGTACCAGGGCTGGCCAGCGGGTGCTCCCAGCAATCAGAGACTCAACTTTGCAGCCAGCTAACACCTGGAACTGATTATGCTGGGGTATTTAAGGGATGGCCAGACCCACAGACTCTGCCTTGGTGTGTGTGTTTGTCCTGGGCCCTGTATCTGTCCTGCATCCTGTTTCTGTTCCTTTGCTGACCCTGCCTGATCTGAACTGCTGCTGACTTCTCCTGCTCTGATCCCGGCTCGCTCCTGACCATCCCTCTGCCTGACCCTCTGTACTACGCTGCTTGCTACCTGTTCTGATCCCTGGCTTGTGACCCTGACCATCCCTCTGCCTGACCCTCTGTACTACGCTGCTTGCTACCTGCTGAACCTGGCCTGTGACCCCGACCATTCTCCGCTTGCTCCCCCTGTACCTACCTGCCCAATTGATATTGACCCGGCCTGCCTGACGACGCTTGATTGTATGTACTGTTATCTGTGGGTGGTTGGTTGGGTTTTTGTTTGCACTGTATTATGTTTAGTATTGCACTGCGTTTATGTTTGTATGGTTAGTGTTAATAAATTATATTGTTTATCACATATCTGAAGTCTGCGTTTCCCTGCGTCAGTCACACATCTCTGGTCATACCTGGGAGCCCTGACATTACACCAAGGCCAATCCTGACCAGAAGTGGCTGCACAGGGAAGCCATCTTGGCTTGTTGATGGGAAGGATGGATCTGGATGAGGTTGCGTATTTATCTGCTAGTGTTTGATGACAGGGAGTATGCTTATCAAACTCTGTAGGAGTATACCCGGGATGAACTGCTAGAATGTATATGGCTCGCTCATGTTCTAGTAGATCAGGGCACAGAGTTCTCTGAGGTGCAGCCATTGATTGAGGTTTGTGCAGAGTTGGTTTCATCTGGTACCCCCGAATGCAGGGATGAATTTTTGCCACCATTTAGTGCAGACCAGGTAGAGTCCCTGGTGTGGTTATTAGAGGATGATGTGGGTTACTTTCTGGAGCGTTATTCCACATGTTCACACAGACACTAAGAGATTGTATAAACGCAATGCAGTCATTGACCAGACAGGCTTTGTGTAAGCTCAGCTTTGTTCAACCCATACTGCAGACATGGACAGACTTGTTGCACCCAGCCTCAGTCAGCTTACAAAAACCCAGTCCTGCTTCTAACTCTACTCCTGTATTCCCAACAGCTCCTCCAGTTACAGCCCAGTATACTTGGCTATCTACCGCATGTCAGTACCCTGTTCCCACTCGCTGCACCTATCCTCCCTTTAACCCTGTAAAAAAGCCCTCTGTAGCAACTGCTCCCTCTCCTGTTCCATCCTCCAGTTCTTCTCTGTCTCCAGCTGCTCCATTCGTTTGCAGACCTGCGTTTACTTGCAGTGCTCCAGTAGTTAAAACCAGAAAAAAGCGAAAAATTCTTTCCAACCAATACCATCCTGCCAGTATCCAAACCGGTGAACCTGCCTTCCGTGGTTCAGCCTGAAGCCTCTACTCAGCCTGAATCCTCTACTCAGCCTGAATCCTCTACTCAGCCTGATGCCTCTACTCAGCCTGATGCCTGTACGCAGCCTGATGCCTCTCTTCAGCCTGAAGCCTCTACTCGGCCTGAAGCCTCTACTCGGCCTGAAGCCTCTACTCGGCCTGAAGCCTCTACTCGGCCTGAAGCCTCTACTCAGCCGGACGCCGGCATTCAGCCTGATGCCTCTACCCAGCATGATGAACTGATCCAGCCTGACGATCCTATTAGGCCAGTTGACTCGATGCCCGCTGTTGATCCAGATGATCCGGTACCTGATCCGGTGCCCGCTGTCCTGCCAATTGACTCAGAGCCCGCTGTCGTAGCTGGTGACTCGGTGCCCACTGCCTTGCCAGATGACGCGGTGCCCGCTGGCAAGCCAAATGACCTGATGCCTGGTGACCCAGTGCCCGCTGTCATACCTGGTGACCCGATGCCCGCTGTCGAGCCAGACGATCCAATGCCTGGTGACCCGGTGCCCACTGCCTTGCCAGATGACGCGGTGCCCGCTGGCAAGCCAAATGACCTGATGCCTGGTGACCCAGTGCCCGCTGTCATACCTGGTGACCCGATGCCCGCTGTCGAGCCAGACAATCCGGTACCTGATGACCCGGTGCCCACTGTCGTGCCTGTTGACTCGGAGCCCACTGCCTTGCCAGATGACGCGCTGCCCGCTGTCGAGCCAAATGACCTGATGCCTGGTGACCCGATGCCCGCTGTCCAGCCAGACGATCCAATGTCTGACCCAGTGCCAGCGGTCATGCCAGTTGACTCGGAGCCCACTGTCGTGCCTGGTGACTCGGTGCCCGCCGCTCCGCCTGGGGGCCCGAGACCTGTCGCTCCGCTTGGGGGTCCAGCGCCCGCCGCTCCGCCTGGGGGTCCGGCGCCCGCCGCCCCGCCTGGGGGCCTGAGACCTGTCGCTCCGCCTGTGGGCCCGAGACCTGTCGCTCCACCTGGGGGTCCGGCGCCCGCCGCTCCGCCTGAGGGCCCGAGACCTGTCGCACCACCTGGGGGTCCGGGGGTCCCCGCCCGCCGCTCCGCCTGAGGGCCCGAGACCTGTCGCTCCACCTGGGGGTCCGGCGCCCGCCGCTCCGCCTGAGGGCCCGAGACCTGTCGCTCCACTGGGGGTCCGGCGCCCGCCGCTCTGCCTGAGGGCCCGAGACCTGTCGCTCCACCTGGGGGTCCGGCGCCCGCCGCTCCGCCTGGGGGCCCGAGACCTGTCGCTCCACCTGGGGGTCCGGCGCCCGCCGCTCCGCCTGGGGCCCGAGACCTGTCGCTCCACCTGGGGGTCGTTCCGGCGCCCGCCGCTCCGCCTGGGGCCTGAGACCTGTCGCTCCATCTGGGGGTCCGGCGCCCGCCGCTCCGCCTGGGGGCCCGATGCCTGTTGCCCCGCCTGGGGGCCCGATGCCTGTCGCCCCGCCTGGGGGCCCGATGCCTGTCGCCCCGCCTGGGGGCCCGGCGCCCGCCGCCCCGCCTGGGGGCCCGATGCCTGTCGCCCCGCCTGGGGGCCCGATGCCTGTCACCCCTCCTGGGGGCCCGGCGCCCCCCCTCCACCTGGGGGCCCGATGCCCGTCGCCCCGCCCGGGGGCCCGACGCCTGTCGCCCTCCCTGGGGCCCGCCGCTCCGCCTGGGGGCCCGATGCCTGTCGCCCCTCCTGGGGGCCCGCCGCTCCGCCTGGGGACCCGACGCCCGTCTCCCCGCCTGGGGGCCCGTCGCCCCGCCCGGGGACCCAACGCCCGTCGCCCCTCCCGGGGGCCCGCCGCCCCGCCCGGGGACCCGACGCCCCGCCCGGGGGCCTGACGCCTGTCGCCCCGCCCCGGGGCCCGACGCCTGACGCCCCGCCCGGGGGCCCGACGCCTGTCGCCTCGCCCGGGGGCCGACGCCTGTCGCCCCGCCCGGGGGCCCGACGCCTGTCGCCCCGCCCGGGGGCCCGACGCCTGTCGCCCCGCTCGGGGGCCCGACGCCTGTCGCCCCGCCCGGGGGCCCGACGCCTGTCGCCCTGCCCGGTAATCCGATGTGCCTCTGCCCGGAGTCCGGCCCGATGTGCCTCTGCCCGGAGTCCTGCCCGATGTGCCTCTGCCCGGAGTCCTGCCCGATGTGCCTCTGCCCGGAGTCCTGCCCGATGTGCCTCTGCCCGATGTGCCTCTGCCCGGAGTCCAGCCCGATGTGCCTCTGCCCGATGTGCCTCTGCCCGGAGTCCAGCCCGATGTGCCTCTGCCCGGAGTCCAGCCCGATGTGCCTCTGCCCGGAGTCCAGCCCGATGTGCCTCTGCCCGGAGTCCTGCCCGATGTGCCTCTGCCCGGTGTGCCGCTGCCCGGAGTCCTGCCCGGTGTGCCAATCTTTGATATCCCGCCAGTTACCAGACCCGGGCGGTGGAACATTTTGCCCAGCTAGGACTGTTTGGAGCGTCCTGAGGCCACTCCTTGAGGGGGGGGGGGGTACTGTCAGGAATGGACTGGCCAGCAATGGTGGGGACTCACCTGCCTTTTGATCTCCAGTACCAGGGCTGGCCAGCGGGTGCTCCCAGCAATCAGAGACTCAACTTTGCAGCCAGCTAACACCTGGAACTGATTATGCTGGGTATTTAAGGGATGGCCAGACCCACAGACTCTGCCTTGGTGTTGTGTTTGTCCTGGGCCCTGTATCTGTCCTGCATCCTGTTTCTGTTCCTTTGCTGACCCTGCCTGATCTGAACTGCTGCTGACTTCTCCTGCTCTGATCCCGGCTCGCTCCTGACCATCCCTCTGCCTGACCCTCTGTACTACGCTGCTTGCTACCTGTTCTGATCCCTGGCTTGTGACCCTGACCATCCCTCTGCCTGACCCTCTGTACTACGCTGCTTGCTACCTGCTGAACCTGGCCTGTGACCCCGACCATTCTCCGCTTGCTCCCCCTGTACCTACCTGCCCAATTGATATTGACCCGGCCTGCCTGACGACGCTTGCTTGTATGTACTGTTATCTGTGGGTGGTTGGTTGGGTTTGTTTGCACTGTATTATGTTTAGTATTGCACTGCGTTTATGTTTGTATGGTTAGTGTTAATAAATTATATTGTTTATCACATATCTGAAGTCTGCGTTTCCCTGCGTCAGTCACACATCTCTGGTCATACCTGGGAGCCCTGACAACAGATGTACATCCCTTCTCTGATACACTTTGAACAGCTGGATTTTAAACCTCATAGGGAGACTCAAGACCTTGACCCTCATCCATCACTCCACCAAGTATAATCTGCCATTATGCCTTTTATCTATAAATGTAGAAAAGATGTTTGGCCGCCTGGTATGGCTGTGTCTACACCCATACTACAACAAATCTGAATATCAGACCTCCTTATGGGACAGTTGATGGCTGTCCATGATTCCCGTCAGCCAGAGTCTATATGAATGGAGCTGTGTCAGACCCCATACAAGTCCATAATGGGACTTGCCAGGGTTTTCCTCTATCTCCCCTTTTGTAATGGAACATTTAGCTCATGCTATTTGTTCCAACCCCAACATTCAAGGGATTCAATTAGGGAAAGTCTATTACAAAATGGTATTGCTTGTGGATGATCTCCCTTTGTACATTTCAAACAATAGGATAGCACTTCCCCTCTCCACTTTTCATGATCTCTGCAACTTTAAAGTCAATACTCACAAATTCACAGCTCTCAACATCTCCCTACCCCAAAACAAGATTCAAGGCCTGTCAAGATTTTTCCCTTTCATAGTGGCCACAAAATCTATACAGTACTTAGGTGTCCACGTCATATCAGGTCTGCTAGTTCTACATGAGTTTAACTTTTCTTGACTCCTATGCTCCTTGTTAACCAGACTAAAGGAATGGTCCAAACTGAGACAATCGTGGTTTGACTGAGTAGCACTCTTTAAAATATATGTAGACCATTGCTTTGTAAAACAGCTCATTCCATTTAAAATATAAATGAATGGCAAAACATTTACATATAGATCTAAAACAAAAAACATTATAAACACTTTTCCCCCCTTTTTTTTAAATAAGTGATCACATTCCCTCTGTTATCAGCTGCATAAGAGGTAGGGGAGGAGACACAGCAGTACATTGAGCTTCCCAGTGAATGGCTGTACATGGAGGTGGTGTCTGGACAAGTCTGATCTTTGGAAGAGAGCAGGCTGAGTTAACAGCCTAGCTAGAGTACTGACCACTGTATGTTCTTCTGCTTAATGTGGTCAGTTTTTTATAGGAAAGCAGAGGGACTGGTAGGAACACCTGGTATTTCACACAAAGAAATCAATATAAACAGCACAGGGTACTTTTTCATACATATCGGGAATGTCAAATGTTGGGTTAACATACTCTTTAGGATGAACATGTTGCCGTGCTTTCTTTACTTGTTTCAAGCAATTCTGATGTCTTTTCCATCATCTTTCTTCTTCACTACGAAATTGGCCCTCTTCATATAGGTCTGGGTGAGTCTTCTCCCATGACTTTGCTACAGTATCCTACGTCACAGAAAACTACATGGAGGATTGGGTATCCCACATCTTGAGCTTTATCAATTCCTGGTCTACATCATATACTGGATTTTCCACAACTCTGACAAGCAATGGGTAACATCGGAAAAGTCACTCCTGCCAATTTCACCTACATCGCTCCCCTGATTGGTTCTATCTCGGAGACCCCCATCACCTCACTGCCACTGTATTTCTTTTTTCTTACAAACATGGGATTCCCTGGTTAAAGGAGTGTGACTCTACACATTTAGGTCAACTTAAGCAAATCATAGGCAACCTCATGTTTGCCGCAGGAGTGGCATATTCCTTCTTTCTCATTTTGTCCCAGGACAAGATATCACTGGTCTGTTCCACTATGCACAACAAACACATTAAACCATTGGCCTCAATGATGGTAAACCTGCTACACACTCTGTGGTGGTGGTGGCTGTATTTTCAGCTTTGTGACTTTGTTACCTCCCTCTCCAGGATTGCTAATCTTGACAGGTATTTGACCTCTTTTGTATCTCTCTGATGCTCCATAGAATCCATGTGCGTTATTTACTAAAACTGGAGAATGCAAAATCTGGTGCACCTCTGCATGGAAACCAATAAGCTTTTAGGTTTTATTGCCAAAGTTTAATTGAACAAGCTGAAGTTAGAAGCTGATTGGCTACCATACACAGCTACACTAGATTATGAGTGCTCCAGTTTTAGTAAATCTGCCCCTATGAGTCTATCCCATCGTACTGTTGGAGGTGTGGACATTTGCAAGGCTCCATGCTCTACATCTTGTGAGCATGCACTGCAATGCATGGTTTCTGGTCACATATTTTCAACATTTATAATTCTGTCACTTAGTCCCACACCCCCCTATCCCCATCTCTAGCCCTTCTCTTCCTTGCTCCATCTCCTCAACTATGAAGGGCTGACTATGCTTTTTTCTATAGCTGCCAAAAATGCAAAAGCCAGGCATTTGTAGTTAGTAGATGCCCTCACAATAGTACAGTGGCTTGCTGATCTCCAACAAATCATGATACATTTTCTACATATAGTACATAGCTACCAGATGTATCTGAATTTTCTTTTCGGATTCCCCTTGGTTCCAAACCATTTTCTCCTGTTTTCGGAACTCCTCAGCACAAGGTTCAAGCTATGCCTCTCCCATCTGCACCCCCCCCTTTCTTTTTCCATCTATTGTTTTCCTTTCTCTTTTTTACCTTAACCTTCTCTATCCATGAGCCATCCTTTAGT